ATACAGTCGAGGTGACAAAAGTCTCACCGAGGACGCGGGGGATCTCCTCCCTGCACCTGGCCTGGCAAGTGCAGAGGTGGCGTTTTGGGACCAGGTGCCGCAGCTTGGCCCTCTTGACCTGGATCTGACGCATCGCCACCCGTCTCCCGAGACCGGAGACGGATGATGATAACGCTCGGTGGACAGCCACTATGGTCCTCTTGGAAACCCGGGAGGTGGGCGGGGGAGTCTCCTCGAAGAAACCCACGAACTCCATGATGTTTACGAGGTATAATTTGACCGTAGTTACCGCCTTCCTCTGCTTCCGCAGATGTTCTGGCCTTCTGCTCCGGGAAAAAGAATGGTACGAGTTCAACGAGAGAACGCCAAAAGACATTCGCCGACGTACATAGGAGAGGACCTTACTCGTAGATTCTCTGGACGTTCGAGGACTGTCCACGCCGCGGACCACCTCTCGCCATTGGCCAGGAAGCTCAGGAAGTGGTGGATCCTGGCCAGCTTTGATTGCTGGTTCTCCACTTGCTTCCTCCCACCGGTGGAGCCCTTCAAATAGTCCCAATAGGACTCCATGTACTGGACTGCATAAAAGACATTTGAGAAGCCAAAAAAAATGGATTCAGGTAAGGTAAGATTTTGGCAAGCAGGGATGGACAGACGGACGTGACTCACCGATGGCCGGCGGGAGGTTGCGAAATGGAGCCAGGACCCCACGACCTCTGGTGCTCCTGGCCTCCTAGTTGGGCGGGAGGTCCTCCTGCTCCTCCTCCTCTGAAGAGGTCTCTTGGTGGGTGGCAGGCGGGGAGAGGCCAGAGACACCCGCAGCCTGCTGCTGAAGATGGGACAAACAATAAATTAATTAATTCATTAAAAAAGCATTTTTAGGTGCTGCCATTTTCGAGCAGCCAGCCCTGCTGCGGGATTGCGGACATCCCGCAGCAGGGCTGGCTGTGGGACTCCGGCAGGTGGGAGGCTTCCATTTGCAAGCAGCAGGCCCGGCTGCTCGCAAATGGCAGACTCCCCACCTGCCGGAAGTCCAGCTGCGAAATGGCAGCAGGAGGAGAACTCGCGGCCAGAAGTCAGTCCTGCCGAAAAGGAAAACAGGTTGGTAAGGTAGGTCATTGACTGTGGGAATGAATTTTACATACCTGCTCCAGGTTCTTGACCCTATTCCGCTTCTTCTTTAAGGTCTTGGCCTGGATGCGGAACCTCCTCTGGAGCTTGAGGAGGTCGGCCTCCAGGACCTTGCAGTTACCGCAGTTGGCCGGCGGCGAGCTGCAGGACACCTCCTCCCTTGCGTCCTCCTCCTCAGGCTGGACGTCCAAGGAGGACGTCCAGGAGGGTTCGGGTGGGTCTTGGGGAGGTCCTGGAGCAGCTGCACGGTGTACAGGAGGATCTTTCTTTCATCCAGGTTTTTGACAAAGTGCTTTGCCAGCAGGTGCTTCCCCAAGAATCTAAACTTGTAGAAGCAGAGGGGGCACTCTGCCAATGATTTTGGCGGTGCCATTTTCTCTGTATGTCTGTGGATGAAAAACGAAATAAAGTTAAATAAAACTACAAAATAAAGGGTAAGTATCACATGTGGAACCCCTGCCCAGGATCGGGGCACCGGACTCAGGCAGGGGCCCGGCCATTTGGCAGAGTCCCTGGACGTCTCCTTATGGCCGGGGACTTTGTTGAAACGGCACAAGTCCCGTTCCGCCAAATGGCTGGACTGTTCCAGCCTATGGCTGGAACCCCTGCCCGGGACGGGGCACCTGG